AATGTCGATCATTGGCCTTCTTGTCATAAAAAAATGCTTCTGACTACCTTGAGTTGCATACAATCTCTGTTGAGCAAGTTGACAGGTCTCCCCCAGTTGGTTTCTGAGGGACTAACACATACTGGTATGTGTTCCTTACTTCTGAATCTTCTTCTCCCATCCATAGCTCTTTCAATATTTGCATTGGACTTTGTACTGTTCTACCATACAGTAACTTGAAGGGTGAAAATCCTGTACTTGCTTGTGGGACTTCTCGATAAGCAAATAATACTGCCTGCAAGTACCTGTGCCAGTCATGTGGTCTCTCTTGGCACATCTTTTTTAGCATACTCTTTAAAACACCATTGACTCTCTCGCAAAGTCCATTACATTTTGGATTGTTCGGGGTGGAAAAGAGTTGCCTAGTACTTATGAGTCTGCACACTTCTTGCATCAGTTCTGAAGTAAACTGAGTTCCTCTGTCACCCAGGATTTCTCTTGGAAAGCCTACTCTGCAAAATATCTCCAGTAGGGCTTATGCTGCACTCTCTGTTTCTATCTTTGCCAGTGCTATTGATTCTGAATAATGTTTTGCATAGTCGACTACTGTTAGCACATACCGGTTGTCAGACAAGTACTGGTGGCCCAATCAAGTCCACAGCTACTCTGCTGAATGGCTCTTCTATGAGAGACATGTTCCCCAGTGGCACTTTGGTTACCTTCCCTCTAGGTATTGTCCTTTGGCAGATGTCACATGACCTGCAGAGTCTACTCACATCTCTGATGACTCCCGGCAAATGGAAGTTATTGGTGATTCTGTCTGCCATTTTCTTTGTTCCTAAGTGTTCTCACACAATTTTATGAGCCAACTTCATCCCTTAGGTCTGGTATTCTGTTGGTACCATGATCTGTTTAACTGTATAACTGCCTTGATAGATTTGGGATACAACTCTCTTCCCATCCTCTATTGTATAAGTATCTTTCCCCTTTGTTTTGTGCTTGACTATCTACTGTCCAAACGTTTGTGCAGTTTAGGGTATTTCTTCTATACTTTCTTCAGTTCCTGCAAACCTAAATTCGGGATATCGCCTTTTGACACTTACAGGGGCTTGATGCCTTTTTTGCTTTGCTTTTCTTGAGCTCTGGTGGTGACAGCAGATGTTTCATCAATCTTCTTTCTGTCTAGTTCCTCCAAATTTCTACTACCTGGTATGTTCCTATCACCGAGTCGTGTATTGATTTCTTGATAAATGTGATCTCAAAGTTTCCTACATAATATGGAGTATCCACATTTATTTTTGTTATGGGAAATTCTCACTATTCCATCAATTAGCACATACAGACATACCTTGCTTGTCATCTGATCATTGGATACTAGACTGGTTCTCAATGCTGCACTACTGCACTCAGTGTCTTGTAGAACCTTCACTTTCTTGTCTCCAAGATAATCTTCACATATTGGCATATTATGTTTTATTGACATCTCTTGATATTTGTCACATGCTCCAATCACTATTGGCACTGTTGATTCTTTTGCTAATTTCAGCTAACCATTAGTCTTGCTTTGATCAATCACGTTTTCTTGTATTGAATTTAATAAGTAGTCTTGATTCTTTTTCTTTTGGCAGCAGCATTCATAATGCCAATCACTCTTTTCTTGTTTCTCACCAGCACTGTCTTTCTAAATGGCTCTAGCTGCTTTATGTTGAGGTTTCTGCTGTTGTTTGGTGGTAATGAACTTGCACTTCTTTGCAATTTTCCCCCTTTTTATAACAAACATAACACCTCTTATACCCTCTGTCTATTAACTTCCTTTCACCTTTGGTAAATTCCTACTTCTGGTCAGCCATTACTGGTTTCCAATTTAACTGGACATTCTTGGACTTGCCAGTTATACTACCTCCATGGACTTCCATATACTGTTCTGCCAACTTGATCATCTTGTCTACATCATTTGACATGGTCATGAATTATTCATGTACTAATTGGTCTGCCAGTCCCTCAAAACTAATTTCACACATGGCCATGTCAGTCCATCTGGTGAAATATTGCTGCAGACATGCCACAAACTGAAATACAGTTTCTCCAGTGTTGGGTTTGCTCTGAGCTTCTGATGAAAACCTTCTTCAGTAAGTTCATATCGTTTCAGTAACGCTCCTTTTAATTTGTTATAATCCATGGCATCTTCTGATATCATGCCTGCATGTACTTGTAGGCCTTTTTCTGTGAGAAGTGGGGTGAGACAGACTGCCCAGTCACCTTTGTCACATTTCTAACTTGGGGTGAATCTTTTATATCTCTCCAGGAAAGCATCCACGTCATCTTTATGTTCATCAAATTTGGGCAGCTTGGGTTGGCTAGCCCTGACTCCATTGTCATTCTTTGGTCCTTCTTCCTTCTCAATTTGTGCTCTTATTCCCTC